AGTAACCTGTAGTTCCAAGCTGAAACCCTCCACTCCACTCCACTCCTCCACTCTGAAGGGATTTTCTCCCAGTCACTGTCAGTCAATGGGTCTCCAGAGCTCCCTGCAATTCCACCTGGATTTAGGAGTCCCTGGGTGGCTCAAACAGTTCAGCGCTGGGCTACTAACAGAAAGGTTGGCGGTTTGAACCCACCCAGAGGCACTTCAGAAGAAAGGCCTGGTGATCTACTTCTGAAAGATCACAACCATGAAAACCCTATGGAACAGAGTTCTATTCTGACAAACATGGGCTCACCATGTGACAACTGGTGGGGTGGTTCTTTCACCCAATATTTGCTATAATAGCCCAGACTTGTAGAATTCATCACCACTCAGGAATAATTTGCCACAGCTTCTATCAGGTTCTGCTACATATATGAGAAAACAATTCCACATGGATTTACTGAGCAAGTATCAATGCCTACCACCATGTTGGACACCGTGAAGTATTTAAGGTTCCTCCTCTGTAAGGATACAAATATAGGCAGGATCCGTGTCTTCATCCATCAGGTTGCAGAACTCAGATGTGCTAGCAAACACAAATTTCAGGGTTAAAGGTCTAAAGGTTATCTGTCTTAAAATCTGACACGGCAAGCCTTACAAAACCCCAAATACCTAGGTGTCAGAATCCTACAAGCCACCCTTTCCTTGCTGATATGTTCAAATGTGACAATCCATTGCTGTCCACACAGACATCCCATTGGGACTGCTAGTTTGGAGGAATAAAGTGGGAAATCAGACCGATGTATTCACAACACAGGCAAGGCTAACCTGGGGCTGAGAGCCACAAGATCTGGTACTGCTCTCAATATCAGATCATAGCAGCCTTTCCACGTATTAATAAAGTAGATTTTCTGGTTAGGGTTCTTCCTTACTAAAGAGGCAGGTATGGAGTTCCTCCTACCCCAGATCTACCAAGGAAGCCCACGCCCAGCTTTGGGAAGCCTCAGGCTCCTCCCTTAAGCTTTCAGATGGATTAATGAATGAATGGTTAGGATCATGAATCTGATAGAAGGAAATAAGTGAAATAATCGTAACTCTCTTATAAACACGTGAACCTTCAAAACCAGCCTGGACAACTTGAAGATTATTAGCTGGTTGGGGTCACCTGCGGTTTCCAAGCAGTGGAACTTCACAGAGAAGTAACACTTTGTTCAAAAAAGTGTGGAAACAATTATAGGATTGCCAAATTTTCATTTTGACAAGTAAAGGCATTAAAGAAACAACTACAACCTAAAGTCACCGTCATTTTCAAAAAAAATGATATTTTAACTCAAACACACACACAAAAAAAAAGGTAGGAAGGCCAAGATCTCAGAATTAAAGACTTTCCTTCCCAAGAATGTGCTGCTGACGTCCTTTTAGTTACATGTTTCCTAAGACTGGTGAGTGCACTGTAATGGGCCAACATGGGCCCACAGCTCATTGGTGGGAACCATCACCCATACCCCACTCCCCTTCTCCAGACTGGCCTGACTAGACAAAACTCTTCTCCGTCCAGACCATGGCAATCACATAGTTAGCGCCTGTTTCCCTCCAAAATCTCCAAGGTGCCTCAGCTTCAATAAACCTGCCTTCTCCAGAGGACACCTGCTTCTCACCTCCAGGGGTGTCCACTAAGGAGTGAGACAGTTGGGTTCCTCCTTGGTTCACCTAGGTTCATGCTATCCAAGCTAAACTAGTGCCACAAGTTTCTGAAAGTCACAGTCTAATTGGGATCATTCTGGATCATTAGAAACTCCACCATAATTAACAACCAATTCATTGCTGAGTCTGTCATTTCAACACATAGCTGGGTGAACCAGCTGAAATGTGACAACTTGAACAACAGCAATTGAGCTCCTGTGATGAAACAAGAGGGGAACACGCTGTTCTTCATACCCAGGGATGGTGCCACCAGCCCACGGTCAACAGGAAAGTTTTGAGTTATTTTCCAAGGAAAAGATCTAAATTTGCCTCAAGCCATCCACAGTCTCCCTTCTGGCCTCGGTGTCCAAGGACAGATCAGAATCTGGAGGAAGGATGTGTGGTTATGGGAGACTCTGGGTGGAGCAAACGGTTAACATGCTCGGTTGTTAACCAAACGGCTGGTGGTCAAGTCCACCCAGAGGGACCCCAGAAGAAAGGCATGGAGATTTACTTCTGAAAAACCAGCCAATGAAAAACATACGGAGCACGGTGCTACTCGGACACGCATAGGTTCACCATGAGTCTGCATCAACTTGACAGCAACTCATTTTCCTTTTTTACCAGAGAAAGCAATAAAAAGGATAGCATCACCTGATACACTTTATATGACTATTCTCCCTTCACAAGCCCTGCGGGTGCAGTAGTTAAGAGCTCGGCCCCTAACCAAAAGGTTAGCAGTTCGAATCCACCTGCTGCTCCTTGGAAACCTTACGGGGAAGTTCTACTCTGTCCTGTAGGGTTGCTATGAGTCGGAATCTACTTGACAGTATTGTTCCGTTCTGTTTTTTAAGCCCCTGAAATAGGTATTACTGTTTCCATTTGACAGACAAGGCAACTGAGGCTCAGAAGGCATGTCCATTCAACAGTCAACAATTATTTACCGAGCACCCACTATCTGCAGGCACTGAGTAAGGTGATCTGACTTTGCCCACGGTGACACAGCTGGTAGATAGCCAAGGAAGCCCCCAAACCCAGTCATCTAACCTCAAGTCCATTCCATTCCACTGCTGCCTCTCAGGCTGAGGTCAGTCTTGCAGCGCAAGACCACAGGACACCAGAGCCAAATAAAATACCGGGCAAACTTTCAAACAGCTTTGTAAGTCTTCAGAATGTAAAACAAGCACATTTTTTAAAATATCTTAAGGCAATGGGTACGAACAGGGCAAATCTGAAAGCCTCACCCTGACTAAGGCTATCCACCTGCCATGTGCTAAAAACAAATGTAATTTCACGAAGGAAAAACCTGAAAAGGGCACTACATACCTATTAAAATAGCTAAAATAAAAAATAGTGATAATGCCAAATGCTGGAGAGGATACGGAGAAACTGGATCTCTCATCCACTGCTGGTGGGAATGTAAAATGGGACAAATCAAAGCAGCCTTCGGTGTCCCGTTTGTTATAGCATTGCCCATAGTGTACAGCCCAGGACTGGGTGCTGGAGGCTTGTGCATGACCATAGGAGCCCGCACAACCCAGTGGGCAGGACAGAAACACCCCGTTAAAGTCCATGTGAAACCCTGGGGAGAAATCTGTGACAAAAGAGCAACTGGTTCTCGTCTAAAGTTCTAAGAGTTTCCAGAGCCAGGGATCCGAGATCTCCAGTATGACTCTTACTTAGACTGCTTCAAGAGTCTGGACCCATCACCAGCCATGGTCCTCTGGCTATGTGGCATGAACCCTGTGCCAGAGGTTTGGGAAACAAGGTCTGCCATCCACTCTGGCAGGCCATCCCTGCTGGCCAGCCTGTCACACAGTTGCATCAGGGAAGGGGCCAGTCACACACTAGGCTGCCCATTTTAAGAATGCCAAAATCTTCACAAAGGGGCCACCCTGTGCCTGCAATCCAAGGAGGTGGGGCTGACAGCCGTGGGTCACATAACTGTGAGAGGCTGCTCTGGATCAACAGATGACTCAGCTTTGAAGAGTATAAAACTCCGGGACATCCAGTGCTCCTCACATTGCCAGCATCTCCTCTCCTCACTCACCCTTCCTTGCTGCTTCAGGTAAGTGAGTGCTCAGCTGGCGTTTTTGTCTTCCCAGAGGGCCCTGCCCAGGCCTGCAGAAGCTGGTGGACCTGGGGATGGTCAGGGTCTCTCTCCCTTTGCGGAGCTACAGGACCTCTGCCTTCCCAAGTGCACTCACTTAGAGTTTAGAGGGGATACAGGCAGGAAAGAGAGAGAAGGGCTGAGCTTTTGCTCTGCATGGTGTTTCTGGTCTCCTGACCAGAATGTAAACTCTGAAAAGAAAAGACTATCACCTGCCGCTCTGGCACCCCTGCAAGGGCAGACATGGTGCTGGGCACAGAGGGGCACTGAGTCAGAGGTAGCCCACGCATGGGCTGGATGGACCTCCTGAACCTGTCAGCAGAAACAGCTGAGTCTACTCTCAGAAAGGCGGAAAAATGAGTCAGAGAATGCTGCAGACGAGAGGGATCTTAGGACCCAATTCCTGCTTCACAGAGGCAGACGTTCTGAGAGGGAAATGCTGGGATACAACTTCCTACCAGTTACAGTCCCTTCTATCAAGCTTGGACTTGAGCAAATCATAAAAGAGATGGTTCATGTCTTTTGGTCAGAGAGGCTGGTCAAAGGGATCATTAGGACACCCATGGTCCTTTCCCTGTCTCCAGGCAGGGCCGGGTGCAGCCTGTCCTGTCAGATAAGTGGCCCCTGGGTCCTGGCTTAGCTCAATGGCACAGATCAAGAGTTTGAACTAAGAGATTCTACAAGGAATAGGGGTACAACAACTCTCCAACACCTCAACAAACCTCCCTCTGTTGTGCTGGGGATGGGGAAAATCCCCTAATCTGGACAGAGGTTTCTGATAACTTCCTGTTTGCACTCAGAGAATCGTGCTGGGATTGGAAGAGATCTGGGAGATGAAGTGTTCCAAGTCTCTCATGTTACAGATGAGGAAAAAGGCTCGGGAGGGTGGGTGATTTGCCCAAAAATCACATAGCAGAGGCTGGAGGCAGAGCCAAGCCTAGGAGCTGGGATAAGGAGAGAAATGGGCACCCCCGACTGGCCTGTTTAAAGCTGGATGAAGACTTCCTGTAGCGGCACTCAATCATTTTCTAAATGTTACTATCCTAGAAGTCCCTGCTGAGAGCGCCCCAGGCATCCTAACAGGAGGAGGCTAGCCCAGGCGCGCAGCCCCGAGGTGATGGGTGTCGCCTCATGGATGCAGCTGCCTCCTTCCCCGCATCCTTCTGCAGCTGGTCCAGTGATGCTCTCTGCTCTCCTTCCAGGGTCTCCTTTCTCCCTAGACCAGATGTCCCACCAGAAAAAGCAACCCACTCCCATACCCCCAGTGGGCTGCGTGAAGATCGGTGGCGGCGGAGGCGGAGGCTGCGGAGGTGGAGGCAGCGGCGGCGGCGGGGACTCCAGCTGCGGAGGGGGCTCCTCCGGGGGCGGATCCGGAGGGGGCATCAAGTACTGCGGGGACGGTGGCTCGTCCGGGGGCGGCTCCAGTTGCGGGGGCGGCTCGTCCGGGGGCTTTGGCGGCTCCCACTCCGGCCAGCAGGTCCAGTACCAGAGCTACGGAGGCGGCTGTAGCGGCGGCTCCTCCGGGGGCGGCTCCGGCTGCTTCTCCAGCGGTGGTGGCGGCGACGGCGGGTCTTGCTACGGAGGTGGCTCCTCCAGAGGCGGCGGCGACTCCAGCTGCGGCGGGGGCTCTTCCCGGGGTGGTTCTGGCAGTGGCAAGGGCGTCCCTGTCTGCCACCAGACCCAGCAGAAGCAGGCGCCTACCTGGCCATGCAAATAAGGCCCCTGGGACGCCCCGGAGGCGGAGGAGCTGGAAGTGTTCTCCGTGGGCGCAGATGGGCTTGGCGCTCTCATGATATTGCTCTGAGGTTTACAAGCCCTTCTTCTCATGTTACTGACCTAGAAGCCTGTGAGCTCGCAGGCTGCGTCTGGTTCTGCAGGTTTTCCTCCTTGGTTTCTGTACTACGACCTCCCAACTCCCAATACATCCTCAGTCAATAAATGTGCAATTCATGAGAATCTCTGTGTCTTCAAGAGTCTTTGTAGCTTCCAAGTTCCTCCGTTCCTCTCCAGTTCCTCCATTCATTCATCCACACATGCATTCATTCAATGAATGTCCTTTGTCTACTGGAAGGAGGGAGAATGGGCAGATGGGGGTCAGCAAGGCAGAGAGGAATTGCTGGTAACCTGTGACCAAAGATATGAACTCTGGTTCATGCCTTAAAATTGTGAGCTGATCCCCAAACACAAAGGCCCTGGAAAGAGATTTCAATAAACAGTCCCTGGTGGGGTGGGTAGCCACCCTGGATCTGCCCACTGAGGTCAGTGCCTTTCTAGGACAGGGGTGCTCTGGGAAGACGCTGCTTGTCACAGTCCAGAGCCTGGACTCTCCAGGATCTGAGACTGTCTCCAGAACGGCCGCACTTAGGAGCACCAGCTTATGCTACACAGACTCCCAGGAGAAAGAATACACACGTCGGGTATTTATGAGCCTCTACAGTGTGTGAGACACTACACAAGGCCCTTGTAGAGACAGGACGGAGTAGAGGAGCTGTTCCCTATCCCCCCCCCCCCCCGAGGGCGCTTACACCCAACTTATGAAGATACAGCGTAAATGTATGAGGGTAAAAATGGAGTGGAGGGGGCATCTGATCTCCTCTAACTTCACTGAGTGTAAAAATGGCGTGGTGAGGGCATCTGACCTTCTCTAACTTCACTGAGTGTAAAAATGGCGTGGTGAGGGCATCTGACCTCTAACTTCACCAGTGGGAGAGAAAATCACCATCACCATCAGCCCAACGCTGATTCCTATGAGGCAGCTTTCAAACATAGCTCCTCTCTCCACACATTTTACCAATTCTGACACCAGCCGTCCCTCCCGTGGCACTCTCTACTTCTCTGCCGGGTTCCGCAATTCATGGCAATGACCGCACAGAATTCACAGACAACACTCATGAATATGGGGTTTATTAGGGAAGTAATAGGTTACAACACAAGATCAGGAACAACTCAGGATACAGGTCTTTGGAGCAGAGTTGCCGTCCCAGTGGGCCTGGAAGGCCGAGCTGAAGCCCAGAGCTGAGGGGCCTCCACTCAGAATCCAGAGACTGTGGCCAATACCCAGAGTCTGGAGAGCAGGGCTATTGTGTAAATTGTCTCAGAGGACAGAAGATTATTTTCAGAGCTTTGAGGGCTAATGTAATGTGTTCTGCTGACTTGTTTGGTGCCTGTTATGCCTTCTTTCCCTCCAGTTACTCCCATTTGTAATGGAAAATGTCTAGCTTGTGTCTGTTCTGCCATTCTACCTTTGGAAGCAGATAACTTATATTCTAGATTTCACAGATGAAGAGGAATTTTTGGATTTTGGACTTGGAGTTAAGACTTTTACTGTGATATGCTGAGATGAATATGTTTTGGGGGCCAAAGGGTGGAGTGTCATAGATTGAATTGTGTCCCCAAAAAATACCTATCACCTTGGCTGGGTCATGATTCCCAGTATTGTATGATGGTGTACCATTTTGTAAATCTGATGTGATTTCCTTATGTGTTGTAAACTGTATCACTATGATGAGGTTATATGTGATCTCCTTATGTGTTGTAAACTCCATCACTGTGATGAGGTTATACTGATGGCGTCTACAAAATTGGATAGTGTCTTAAGTCAATCTCTTTTGAGATATAAAAAAGAGAAGTGAGCAGAGACACATGGGAACCTTATGCCACCAAGAAAGCAGTGCCAGGAGCAGAGCGCGTCCTTTGGACCTGAGGTTCCTGCACTGAGAAGCTCCCAGACCAAGGGAAGATTGATGACATGGACCTTCCTCCAGAGTCGACAGAGAAAGCCTTCCCCTGGAGCTGATGCCCAGAATTTGGACTTGTAGCCTACTGGACTGTGAGAGAATAAACTTCTCTTTGTTAAAGCCATCCACTCGTGGTATTTCTGTTAGAGCAGCACTAGATGACTAAGACAGATGCTGTGGAGAAAATATTAAATGATGCAGGAAGCATCAAAAGAAGATAAAAGGAATACACAGAGTCACTATACCAAAAAGAATTGGTCATCGTTCAACCATTTCAGAAGGTAGCATATGAGCAGGAACCGATGGTATGAAGGAAGAATTCCAAGCTGCACTGAAGGCACTGGAGAAAAACAAGGCTTCAGGAATTGTCGGAATACCAATTGAGATGTTTCAAAAATGGATGTAGTACTGGAAGTGCTTACTTATCTATGCCAAGAAATTTGGAAGACAGCTACCTGCCAATCAACTGGAAAAGGTCCATATTTACACCTACTCCAGACAAAGGTGATTCCACTGAATGCCGACATTATCAAACAATATCATTCATATCACAGGCAAGTAAAATTTTGCTGAAGATCATTCAAAAGCAGTTGCAGCAGTTATTTCGACAGGGAACTGCCAGAAATTCAAGCTGGATTCAGAAGAGGATGTGGAATGAGGGATATCATTGCTGATGTCAGATGGATCCTGTCTGAAAGCAGAGAATACCAGAAAGGTGTTTACCTGTGTTTTAGTGACTATGCAAAGGCATTTGACTGTGTGGATCATAATAAATTATGGATAAGTTTGCAAAGAATGGGAATTCCAGAACACTTAATTGTGCTCATGAGGAACCTGTACATAGATCAAGAGGCAGTCATTTGAACAGAACAAGGGGATATCGTGTGGTTTAAAGTCAGGAAAGGTGTGTATTGGATTGTATCCTTTCACCGTACTTATTCAATCTGTATACTGAGTGAACAATCCAAGAAGCTGGACTATATGAAGAAGAACGGGTCATCAGAATTGGAGGAAAACTCATTAACAACCTGCATTAGGCAGATTACACAACTTTGCTTTTTGAAGGTGAAGAGGACTTGAAGCACTTACTTATTGGTGAAGATCAAAGACTACAGTCTTCAGTATGGATTGCACTTTTCAACATAAAGAAAACAAAAATCCTCACAACTGGACCAATGAGCAGCATCATGATAAATGGAGAAAAGATTGAAGTTGTCAAGGATTTTATTTTACTTGAATTCACAATCAACAGCCATGGAAGCAGCAGTCAAGAAATCAAAAGACGCACTGCATTGGGCAAATCTGCTGCAAAAGACCTCTTTAAGATGTTGAAAAGCAAAGATGTCACTCTGAAGACTAAGGTGCACCTGACTCAAGCCACGGTGTTTTCAACCACTTCATAGCCATGTGAAAGCTGGACAATGAATACGGAAGCCTGAAGAATTGATGCTTTTGAATTGTGGTATTGGAGAAGAATATTGAATATACCATGGACTGCCAAAAGAACAAACTAATCTGTCTTGGAATAAGTATGACCACAATGCTCCGTAGAAGAAAGAATGGCGAGACTACTTCTCACATACTTTGGACATGTGGTCAGGAGAGATCAGTCCCTGGAGAAGGACATTATGCTTGGTAAAGTAGAGGGTCAACAAAAAAGAGGAAGACCCTCAATGAGATGGAATGACACAGTGGCTGCAGCAATGGGCTTAAGCATAACAACAATTGTGAGGATGGTGCAGAATTGGGCAGTATTTCATTCTGTTGTACATAGGGTTGTTACGAGTCAGAACTGACTCAATAGCACCTAACAACAACAACATATCTGAAGTTTATTTTTGTTTATGGTGTGAGGTGGAGACCTGTATCAGTCTGGGTTCTCCAGAGGGGCGGGGAACAATAGAAGACACACAAAGAGAAAGAGTTTTAAGGAATTGGCTCATGCAATTGTGGGGGCTAAGTCTAAAATATTTAAGACAGGCCAGCAGTCTGGAAATTCAGGTAGGATTTCTATGTTACTGTCTTGAGGCAGAATTCTTTCTTCTCTGGGAAACTTCAGTTTTTGCTCTTAAGACTTTCAACTGATTGGATGAGGCCCACCCACATTATCAAGGGCCACTGATTATAAATATTAATCACATCCACAAAATACCTTCACAGCAACATCTAGACTAATGTTTGACCAAACAACCAGACATCATAGCCTAGCCAAGTTGACACAAAAATTTACCATCATAGGATCTAATTTTATTTTTTCCACATGGATAATCATAAAGTTTTTGCAAGTCCATTGTGGTGAAATGAGTTCCTTCATGTGGCCTTTTGCCTTGGATCTTTGGAAAAACAGCTTGACAGATTTTTCCCCTAAGCTCTAAGGAGTTACCTTGCCCTAGTTTTCTACCCTAGAGGGTTAGTTACTTTTGCTAGATTGATTGACATTTCCTGGGTAAGCTGTAAACAACTTGGTTTGATTCTTTTTGTCTGGCCCTGCATCCTGCCCTATGATTGGTATGTACCTTGCAGGTACAGGTCAATAGACTATGCAAATGAGGTGTGTTGTAGCCCAGCCATGCCTAATATGCATATGAAGTATTTATGATCTACTGAGAGGGGATTGTTCAGTTCGTGGTCATGGTGGGAGTGCCATGCCTTGAAATTGACAAGGAGTTTGTGTATTTAAGCAGCCAGCCCCACAGAGGTTTTAGGAGACAGAAAAAAAGCAGGAAGAGAAACAGAAGGAAGAGAAAAGAATCAGAGAGAGAGAGGAGGTAAGTAATCTCCTAAAAGAGCTGTAACACTGGTCAAGGGCTATAACAACGAAGGCAGCAACAGGCCCAGAAAGGGCTCAGTAGCAGCGCCAGTGGTGACAGGTCTGGAAGGGGCCCTGCAGCAAAGCTGACAGTGACAGGCAGCAGGACCAAGAGGAGCCTGTCCTGAAGGGGCTGAGAGGAGCCTGTTCTCAGGGAGCCAAGAGGAGGCC